AGTTGTATTTGGTGCTATGGGTGTCAATATGGAAACTGCTAGATTTTTCTAAACAGATTTTGAATAAAATGGTTCAATGGAAAGGGTCGTATTGTTTATGAACTTGGCTAATGATCCAACAATTGAAAGAATTATTACTCCAAGATTAGCATTAACAACTGCAGAATATTTGGCTTATGAAAAGGAATTACATGTTTTGGTTATTTTAACAGATATGTCAGCTTATGCAGATTCCTTAAGAGAAGTATCTGCAGCTAGAGAAGAAGTTCCAGGAAGACGTTCCTTCCCTGGTTATTTATATACAGATCTTTCAACAATTTATGAAAGAGCAGGTAGAGTGTAAGGTAAGAATGGATCAATTACTTAAATCCCAATTTTGACAATGCCTAATGATGATATTACACATCCCATTCCAGATCTTACAGGATATATTACTGAAGGATAAATCTTTATTGATAGATAATTGAATAATAAATAAGTTTATCCACCTATCAATGTCTTGCCTTCATTATCAAGATTGATGAAATCTGCTATTGGTAAGGGTATGACTAGAGAAGATCATCCTGAAGTCTCAAATCAAGTATTAATTATTATTACCATATTTTTATAGTTATATGCAAATTATGCCATCGGTAAGGATACAGCTTCAATGAAAGCAGTCGTAGGAGAAGAAGCCTTGTCTGCTGAAGATCTTTTATATTTAGAATTTTTGAAGAAGTTTGAAAATAACTTCATCAGTTAAGGAGCTTATGAGGTTCGTTCAATTTTCAAATCCTTAGATTTGGCTTGGAGATTGTTAAGAATCTTTCCTCCTGAAAAATTAAAGAAAGTAATAACTTATTATATTGTGATTAGATTAACAAAAAAAATCTTGAAACCTACTATTACAGAAGAAAGGAAGATGAAGATGATTTTGATGGACCTCAATAATAGTAAGAAAAATGAGTATGATATATAGACGTATCAAAAAAAATCAATTTAATCTAGATAAAGATTATTTAACAATAATTTTTATTATTATTTAACGTTTACAATTATCTTAAAATTAATAATATTATATTAATTATAATTTATAGAATCATAAAGAGTATTTTTTATTAAAAGAGAAGTATTATAATAATAGTTTAATATATCGGAAGTTTTAGATAATTTTTATGATTAAAATTGCTATGAATTTTCTTAAATGTTATACAAATTTCAAAGAAATAGATTCATAATATTATGATTAAATACAGAATTTCTTACAAGTTATTTAATTAAAAAAAGTAAAGCATATCAAGTAGAAATTTGTATAAATAATTAATAAAATTTTCTTAATGTTATTAACATATTTTTTTTGTAATATACTTATTTATTAGATCAAATAATTTCTACAAATGCCTTTGGATGTTAGAAAGTTGTCTATTTTGGAATAACAACTGTTGCTCCTCTTGGTTAAACTGGTTATCGCTTTGTTGAAATGACTTGTTTATTCTTCTTTGCTTCAGTCTTTTTCTTATCATTTTCTTAGACTCTCTTAACAAATTCTTATCTGCATTTTGAGGGTCTCAAGTGATCAGCTCTAACATGAAAACGCTTTTCGACATATCTTCCTCTGACTCTTCTTTATAATGAGACACCAATTCCTCTTGGATTGACATTGAATACTCTTGCAGTTCTGCCATGATAATATTAAAATGGAACACCTTTGTGTTAAGCACCATCAACCAAAATATCAACAAAATCACCTTAAGATTATTAACAAAGGATTACCTCTTTTGAAAGTTTAAAGGGTTTTTCTTATTGATATGTTTCCATGTCCTCTGAAAGGTTTGGCAAACTTACTTCTGGTACCCTTTTTCAAACCATAACTGTGAGTCATATTTTGATAATTTAATTTATGGATTTGCTATCACATTTAAATATATATATTTAACATAAAATATATATATAATCTATATGAATAAATCAATCTCATCAAATATTCATCTTTCTAACTTTGATTGCATCTTATTTGTCTGCCAATTCTTTTAGTAAAGGCTTATTATGCATTAATTCTTCATTATTCATTTTATTTCTTGGTCTCTATTATGATTTTCTTTCATCTATTTATTATTTTAAAATATCTTAATGTTTCAAATTTACATCTTTAATGTAATTAAATTTTTATTTTTCATGTGTTTAATACATTTATAAATCTTATTACCATACTTAAGCTTATTTTTTATTTAAATCTTCCTCTTCTTTTATTTTCTATCTTAAATAATCATATTATATTTACTTTTTATCTTCCATTTACTTAATTAAATATTATCTCATTTCCTATTGTTATTATTTTATTTATCTCTTTTTTTTATCTTCATCATTTTATTCTATTGAATTTTACATAAGAATAGCTTTCATCATTTTATCATCTTCAGCCCTAATTCTAAATAAAATAATACTTAATTTAATCTTTTTAATTCTTTACTACAGTTTATGAAAAATCACTCATAATCTTTTTGATTTTATCTTCTCTCTCTTTCTTTTCTAATTCTCTTTCTTATTCTAATTTTTATTATAAATCTATATATTTTCTTTGCATATCTATTTCTAATTATTTTTCTGCAATTTCATCATGCATTTATTTTTATCTATTTTTTTCATTTTCTTCCATCATTTCCATAAACTTTCTTTTCTCTATCTCTTTCTTTTAAAGTATTTCCCTTTATTCCTATTTCAATTCTTCCTAAATCCTTTAAACCAATATTGCATCCTATTCTGATTATCTCTTTTTCTCTAAAAATCTTCTCTTTTCCTCTTCCCTTACTTATCTATCTCTTTACTCTTTTTCCATTTATTACTTTCTTTCTTTCTCTTTCTTTTTCTAATCTTCTCTTTAATCATAAACATTCATTTAATAATCCCTTAATTTAACATAAGCATCCTCCTATTTTCTCTCACCTTCTAATCTTCTTCTTTTCTCTTCTAATTATCTATCTAATTCTGCCTTCATTTTCTTTTTAAATTCAGTTTATCTTTGCTATTCAAGCTATCTTTCCTTTGTGTGTAATTCTGTATCAAATTTAACCAAAGCAGCCCATTCATCCTCTTCATCAACTACATATACAGATTTTGGTGGTTTTTCAAATTATGAAGACGTTACAGAATATTAATCAGGATCTCTTTCTGATCTCACTGAATTCTTAACAGATTATGGTCTAACACTTTATGATTTCTATTCACTTCTATTGTCAAATTAAATATTTTAGGAAGGGTTTTATTATGTTTAACTTTGTTATTTTTATTTTTGAATAGCCTCTATTACTCTTGCTTTTAGTTATTTTAAAGAATTTTCTGTAACCTAATATTTTTTATGCTTGATACTTGCTCATTTGTGAAGTATTCATTAACTATTTACGAAATTAATACTTCTTTATTCTTATTACCTTAAGCAAAATCTTTTGAAAATTTGCTAATCAACATTTCTCTCAATTACTCTCTTTGTTGAATTAAACCAGCTCTTTCAATAGCTGATTTGACTCTAGCTGAACCTGATCTAACAGATTTACTTTTTTGAGAGTTGTTCATTTTTATATTAAAATAATTTTTAAAATCATATACTATGAATATGTAAGTGAATGTAATTATCTGATATTGTATAATGCAGCATCATGATAATTAAAATATTATAATAAAAAATCAAAATTATTGTATATCACTAAAATAAATCTATCAGTTACACTTAGAATTTTATCAAATAATATTAAATTTAAAATAAAAAATTGAATTTCTATTGAGAAAGTCTTTTTATCAAGAATCATAAAATTATTTTGATAAGATTTCCTTATAGGGATTAGCATTTGCTTAAGAAATTATACAAATAAATAATATTATCATGAGGTTCCATTAACATCTTGATATAGTAGGCTTTCTTTATCTTTTATTTCAACTTTTTTTTGACAACACAATAATTATAGCCAAACTTGCTTAATGTTCAACACCTTACTAACATATAATATAAGTTTTATTTACTTGTAGTTTTTAATAAAATAATATAAAACAATAAGTAAGTGTAATTCAAAGATTAAATTTATCAAAACATAAAAACCAAATAACCAATGATTAAATACAATCTATTCGACAATAGTCTCATAAAGATCAATATATCTATTTTTTAACAATTAGTACCTTATGACTTAATTAATTGTCCAAGCTATAGAATATATAATTGGAAATTTTTATAGATCTTTAATCATTTAAAATTCTTCATCTTAAAATGTAGATAGATGGATTGAGGCTAATTTTTTATTCTAAAGAAGAATCATAAATGAACTTTTTTACATTAATTCCTATTCTAACTCCATTCAAAAAAATAAGTATTAAAGGTAGACTCCAAAATACTAAATAGAGTTTCCAGTCTTTGCCAAACCCACAAAAAAAGTATTATTTACATTTTTTTTCAAATGAATTCCATCCTGTTGGAACAAATCCATCTAAAATAAATGGTGTAAGCAACCACAAATATGAAAAAATAGCAATAAGTAATATTGCCTTCAATATATGTTTTGATAAAGTTTCATAGAATTTTTCAACCTATAATAAAAATGATTGTACCTTTAATAATAATTTCATCTAATAGATCATCAAGAAGCAACAGCAAAATGATGAGATCCAACTTGAATGCATTATATATCCAATTAAATTGCATTATGAATTTAATGTTTCCTCTTGCAGAATTTATATATTATAAATTAAAGCTAAGCCTAAATCTATACATTCAAATAAGGATTAAAAAAATATTATTCTAAATGTCCAAAAATTCCTTTTGCTACTTAATATACTAGTTAGTCCAATAAAACAGGATGAAAGAAAGGATATCATAAGTATAATCATTCTAGAGTAGTACTAAAGTTAAAAATTATTTGGGTTGCATATTTATTCTTCGTCTTCTTAATTGTAAAAATCAATCGTAGAATGATAATTCATCATTGATTTCAATAAATTTTATTAATTAATCACATAAATTACAAACACAACACAATAGTTGTAATAATTGTTTAATTTAAATTATGGATTAAGATTAATCAATCAAATTGGAAGACATTCACTATACAAACTTCACAGACTATAATTAAATACCCAAAATAATGCCTATGATTGATGCTGAATTATCTGAACCTTATTCTATTTATACTTATAGATATTTTCTTTATGGATGGCCAGATCTATCCATTTTTGCTTATTATAACAATGAAATTATAGGGGTGATTTCATTTATTAAATTTCTAGGTTGTTATTGGAAAATTAGATAAGCATAATAAATCTGGCAGAAATAGGGGTTATATAGCAATGATTGTTGTAGAAAAGAAATATAGACGTCTTAGAATTGGAAGAATTTTGGCATAAAAATTTATTGATAAAATAAAAGAAAAAGGTTTGAATTTATATTTAATATTATAATAAGGGGGTGATGAAATCGTATTAGAGACTGAATAAACAAATCATGCTGCACTTAGATTATATGAATCTCTTGGTTTTGCAAAGATGAAAAGAATGTAAAACTATTACATGTCAGGTAATGATGCATTTCGTTTGAAATTATTCCTAGTGGATCCTCTTGATTCTCATTAAAAAAGTGAATGAGTATACCAAATAATGTTAAAGTTTTATTACGTAAACATATACTATATATATAATAAATGAGAATCAAAAGAGAGACCATATAAATCAATCATCGTAATCTGAATTACAGATTATTATAGTTGTGTCTAAATCTTCTTCCCCTTCCTCATTTTTACTTTATTTTACCAAATCTTCCATAACCAAATGATCTTTGAGGTATTCCCAATTTTTCATAACCATTACTGGATCAAGTATTACACTTTATTTTTTATCGATGATCTTATTCATACTTTTTATATTATAATATTAATCTAAAAACTGAATAATTTATTAGGTTTAAATATCGATTTTAACAGTACTTTTATATTTAATTCAATCATATAATTCTATAATTATCATTTAACTTCACTTTATTATAATTAATTAACAAAAATATTAAATAATTATTTAAATTTTCATATATTTTATTACAAAAATCAAATTAAAGATCAACTAAATATAGAATATTCTAATACTACAGATTAGTATAATAATATTTAATGTTAAATACAATTTTAGATACCATATAATGATATCTAAACCATAATATTAAAATAATAAAAATTTTATAATTATAGAATTTATTTCTATTTTAAGATGTATGTAAAATATATTATCATAGATTATATTTAAATATATATTCTATATATAAGATATCACTAAATCATTTTTAATATCATTTGGCATACTTTTTAGTCCATTCCTTAGCTTTTTAAAGATATAATTATTTTTCATTCTTGAAAACGGTATTAACATCATCAAGTAGTGGACTGTTAGGATTTGGATCATAAAGTAATGCTAGAATACTTAAAAGTACTACAATATAAATAAAAATGTCTTACAATTTCTAATAGTTAAATTTGGAGACCAATTATATCTTAAGATTTCTAGACAAATTTATCCTGTATTATAATCAATATTTAAATGATATATAGAAGTTAGAAATAATATTTTTGGAGGTTTTAAAGGATAATCTTCAGGGAATTATATATCTAGATTAAAAATTCCACCTTCATATGGTGACCCTTAAGGTCCAGAAAACTAAATTTTCCAATAAAATAAATTATTATGATCTAAAATGTTAATTAAGAATCCATTCAGAGGTTCATCTTAAAGACTTTAAAGTTCCTTTTGAATTCGAGATGTTGAATTCATTATATGTAATAAATAATAAAATATTCTTGTACAATAATGTAATTACAAAATGATTTTAAATATATATATTTATTGATAATTCTAGCAGACTGATAAAAACTGATGAATGATAAAGGTAGAAAATGAGAATGATTTGTTGAAATATATAAATATTTATTTTCTTTTATAATGTCAGAAAGGAAAGAGAATTTGCAAAATAAAATGAATATAGAAATTAATTTTAGTTAAATCGAAATAATTATTTAATATATATAGAATAAAACAAATGTTGAGATTGAATTTATTAGTCATCTTGGCTAGTCAATATTAAGGTGCTTAGATTAATGTGGAGGAATCTTGTACTTGTAGTTAAATAAAATCAAAGTTTGATTGTGCAAACATTGGATGTAGATGGGATATTGATAAATGTGTGCAAAATGATTAAATAGAAAATGAGGATACTATAAGTGTTTATTGTAGATAATTTGATTAAGCAACATGTCCTAAGATGAAAGGATGTGCTTTTGTTGATAATAAATGTGAATAATTTAGTGGTTGTTCAGCTTATCTGGGTAGTTCAAATGATTTTTGTTAATAGATATCATAATAATGTACTTCAGATGGGAATGTATGTTTAGATCCATAGAATTGTAATGAATATAAAAATTAGATATTTTGTAATTAGAATATCAATGTTTAAGGAGGTTAATGTAAATGGGAGAACAATTAATGTAGAGATTAAAGATGTACAGAAGCAAGTAATAGTTTGAAAACGGATTAAGAATGTAATTAATTTAAAATAGGATGTGTTACAAATGGGAAGGGATGTGTTGAAATTAGAAGTTAATGTTCTTCATATGGAATTGATGATTGTAATTCAATGATTGGAAGTGAAGGTTATTGTATAAGGACATCAAGTGGTTGTGGTGTAAGAGAGTGTTAGTCTGCTTCTAGTGATTATAATAAAGATGAATAATGTATGAGATATTAATAAGGATGTGTTACAACAGGTAAGGGATGTTGGATGAAACCTTTACCAACTTGTGATAGTTATGTTGGAAATGATTGTTAATATATGATAGGATCTGATGGATAATGTGAAAATGGATCATCAAATAAATGTTAATCTAGGAAATGTGAAAATGCACCATCTACTTATAATACTGATGATAAATGTAATGAATATTTGAAATAATGCATAACTAATGGAAGAGGATGTGATACTTCATTAAAATTATGTAGTTCTTATACAGGAACATCTGAAGAATGTAATTAATATATAGGAAGTGATGGTAAATGTACTTTAGGATCAAATGGTTGTAAAGTAAGAGTTTGTGAAGAAGCTAAACTTAAAACAGATCGGGAATGTAATGAATATTAAAAGGGTTGTGTTACTGATGGAGTTAATTGTTTAAGTAATAGGAAATTATGTTCAACTTATAATGGGACTGCAGCAACTTGTTCTAAATATGAAGGATCTGATGGAAGATGTTATTCAAAAAGTAATGTTGATGGAAGTTGTTCAAATTTATTATGTACTGATGCTCCAACTGAATATAAAACACATGAATAATGTATTTCATTCTAAAGTGATTGTTTATCAAATGGAGAAGGTTGTGTAAAGAAAACAGATTGTGTATCTACTATTAAAGAATTAACATGTAAAGCTACTGCTTCATGTTAATGGAATTAAATTTGTGTTACAAGAACTAATTGTTCATTCTTTAAAAGTATTAGTTTATGTAATAATAATTTGGCAAATGGCTAATCTTGTTTCTGGGTTAATGGGGTTTGTAGAATTAGATTATGTAGTGATGCTCCCTTATCTTATACTAAAGATGATTAGTGTAAGAAATTTTTAGTAGGTTGTGTTACAAACTCTTAAGGATGTCTCTCATACACAGCTCCTTGTAATTAATATGAGGGGACAATAGATACATGTATCAATTTTAAAGGGAATGGTATGAAATGTACCAGTACTAGTAATTTAAAGGGACCTTGTGAGGAAATGTTATGCACAAACAATACAACAGCTCTTAATCAAAAATAATGTGATGATTTTTTAAATGGTTGTAAATTTTAGGGTAATTCTGGTTGTATTGATAAATCTGCTGATTGTAATTAATATACTGGCAATTAAGAAAGATGTTCGTCATATTTTGGAATAAATGGAACAATAAAATGTTATCAAGATGTAGGGATTACAGGACCATGTAGAAATTTATAATGTGCAGATAATATAACAGCTACTTCAAATGAATAATGTATATCATTTTTAAGTACATGTGTATCAAAAGGAATTGGATGTATTGATTAAGCAGAACCATGTTCATCTTATGCTGGAAATAATATTTCAGATTGTTCAAAATTCAAAGGTTTTAATAATACAAAATAATGTTGGTGGATAAGTGGGTCTAACTGTGTAAATAAGGAATGTATATAAGATATTACATCAACATCAAATGAATAATGTGAATAGTTCTTATCAGGATGTGTTACTAAAGGTATAGGATGTATTGAAAACACATAACCATGTACTTAATTTTAAGGAGATGAAACTGAATGTTAAAACTTTATTGGTAATGGGTATCCTTGTGTTCGTAAAAGTTCATGTATGAATAGAAGTTGTTCAGATGTAATTAATCCAGCAAATAATGATTAATGTGTAGAATATTTGTCAACTTGTAGATTTAATGGATTTATATGCATAGATGCATAAATTTCATGTTCATCATATATAGGATTAAATTATTAAATATGTTAATAAATAACTACAATATCTGGTGGAAAATGTTATTTAGCTAATGGAACAGGTACATGCTAGACTAGAAGTTGTACATAATTAACAATAGCAACAAGTTAAAATGATTGTGATTTATTCTTACAAGGATGTATTTTTAGTGGTTCAAATTGTGTTGATTAATAGAATTTATGTAGTTAGTATGTAAATTTTTAACCTAATGCTTGTGAAAAAGCAGTAAGTATATCAACTGGTTTATGTTGGAGATAATCAAATTCAATAGGAACTTGTATGGCTAGAACATGTTTAGGTGTAACAAGTACTTTAAATCCTTATTCATTTTCATCATAATTTTGTACTCAATATTCTGATACATGTGTTTATGATGGAGTAAAATGTGTCAATAAATAATCTAGTTGCAATTCTTATACTAATTTTGTATAATCAGCATGTAAAATAGCAGTTACACTTTCTGGTGAGAATTGTTGGTTAGAAAACAGTGCATTAACAACATGTGAAAGTAGATAATGTACTAATACTGTAACAACTCCAAATTCAATTAATTGTGTAGCTCATAAATCTTCTTGTAGATATAATGGTACTAAATGTGAAGATGCATAAGCAGCATGTAATTTATATACTTTATTCAATCAAAAAGCTTGTAAGGATGTAACATTAATAGATGGTGTTACTAAATGTTGGAGATCTTCAAATTCGGTTGGAACATGTGAAGATAGATAATGTTCAAATATTACAGTAGCTACAACTCCATAGAAATGTTTAGATCATATGAATACTTGCAGATTTAATGGTTCATCTTGTGTAATACAATAGACAAATTGTAATGGATATTTAGGATTTACATCTGAAGCTTGTAAATTAGTAACAACAAGTTCAGGAGGTTTATGTTGGATACCTAGTATTGGATCTACATAATGTAGTAATAGAAGTTGTAGTAATACAATAGAAAATGCAAGTGCAATTACTTGTCCATAACATATGAGTAGTTGTAGATTTAATGGAATAGAATGTGTAGATCATTAAATTACATGTAATTTATATACAGGATTTACTAAAATAGCATGTTAAAATACTACAACTATTAGTGGTATTAAATGTTGGA